ATCCTCATCTGAATAGGAAGATCTGATGCTTCTACATGAATGTTTGCTGTATACTGATTGCTGACTGTTCTGTTTAATTTTAATTAAATACTAATGATCTGTTCATTCTGAAATCAATATGACTTACTCACCCAATCCTTTGATTTTACTTAAAACTCTATGTATTGGTTGCTCATTCTGCCTTATCAAACTTTTTGGCCTTCTGTCTTAGAGCAAGTGTATTTCCGTTTGGCTTACTTCATATATTATCATTATAGACAGAATTTTTAAGTTATGGATGATGAGATAAGCAATTCACAGTTATCCCTGTCTGATACATTTTGATGAATGCTTGTGATCTGACATGACATTATCATTTTGATTTAGATTCTTTTAAATTTAGTGTCTTCTCGTGGGGAAATGATAATTGAAACTCAACTTGTTTTTGCGAGCTATTTGTTTGCACTGCAAAGTGGTAACTTTTCTATCTTTGACTATTTTGAACCGTTTCTTCTACCTTTTGGGATTATAAAATCTGAAATAATTAAGTATTGTCTGTTTTTTTGATAGTTCTGGAAAGATTCGTTCTTAATTGGCTTTCAGAAAGACGTCTTTGAATTATGATTCAGACAAATACCATATCTTAATGAGTATTATTTAATTTTTCAGAGGCTGGCACAATATGGAAAAACAATCCAGTCTGAAGTTCCCCTAACTGTAAAGCACAAAAAAGTAAAACAATGACTATTCATTACTGAAGCTCAGTGAAAGTGAAAAGTTGAGATAGCTTAGTTAATTAATTTTATTTACATATGCAATGCTTAAGCGTGTTTCTTCTAACATGGGACCAACCCAATATTTAGGCCATTTTTGACCCAGCCTATTTTAATTCAAGGTGACTATGAGCAGTGTTTTACACTGATCCATTTCATCTTGACTAGCTCAAGTATAACCCTAGTAGCCCAGTTGTCTTGAGCTAGGGTTGACAACTATAACATATTGAATATGACTTTCATATTTAGATTTTTTTGAATATTCAATATAGATTTTATTTTTGAGTCCCAACTTGGTTAATATCTTTCCACTTGTGTAATTTATATTTTCTTTGCTTTTACTTGGTTTCTTTTACGTTGCTGTTGAATAGTTGTGTATCTGTACTTTAGCCATCTTTCATGTTTTTTAATTCATTATCCTTTAAAAAGTAAAAATGTCTAGAGAGGTTTGTTAATTCCTTTAAAAGAACCTATGTTTGCATTCTATTTTTACTGGTGAATTTTACATGACTTCTAAAAAATATTGAAAATTAACCAAACCGTACCGATAAAGAAGTGAAACCGACATGATTAGGACGATTTTGAAAAGTTTAATTTTATATATAATAGAATAACCGAAAAATTTATAAAGTAACCGGCCGAATCGAACTATTGACACCCCTACTCACTTCTGTTTCAGCTGCCTCAAAAATCCCGCGCAAACTGCGTCATGCCAGGAATTTCATACCAATTGAGATCAAACTCTAAGGTCCAATCATCGGAACTGAAGAATTCTATTCCTTTAAAATCTAAATGCCACAACAATTAGCTCCGGGTCGACGTCTCGTAGCCTTTCCGTAATAATCTGTTAGAACTTAGAAGCCGGAAAAAAATTAGGCAAAAAAAAAGAAGGTGAAATCTGTTATAAAACTATAAAAGAAAGAGTATTAAAGGAAGAGAGAGTTCTTTTTCATTTGGGATGAATTATAATGGATTAGAACGCCATCAAGTAACAAATTCTAATTTTTTTTTAAATATAGGCATTCACCATAAATAAACTATTATTTACAACATTCTCCCTTGAATGTTTATTCAATAGATAATGTGACTCGGTAAAATTCTAATTAAAATAAAATCCAGTGGGAATATAATTCCGGTGAAGGAAAAAGTGTACACATGTTTAGTAATACGCCTTTTGGTTGTCTCGTTAAAAACTTGTAAGGAAAATCCAGTGGGACAATACTTTGAAAGGAAAAAAGAGTGCAACGCGTACTAACTCTCCTGAGAGCATCATTTCACATTTTTAAGTCTTTGCATTCCAATCTTGTGTACCATCTTCATAAAGATCGTTGGTTGATATTTGATAAACAAATCATTAATATTAAGTTGAATAAATATGTTGCATCTTGAAATTATCGTTCTTATGGATATATGATATATTCATAGAGGCAAAAAATTATTCCTAAAATTTCCATTTGGCTAATATTTTTGTGTTTGTATTCGACATACTTAAGATCCTTATCTATACTTAGCGTTATCATAGATGTTGTCGACGAATATATTATATCGGTTCTAATATTTTTTAGAACCATAAACTTTGTCCTTCTAGGACTTATTCTAATAGGAGCATTTACAGTTATAATAGGACTAATAGGACTTATTATATCGGTTCTAATATTCATGAAGACATAACATATATAGAGATCTCTTCATTCATTTCAGGTACCTGAACCTCTCCTGAGATTTTATGAAGTGTTATGTCATGTGATCTTCTAGATTACTTGCCTCCTTATTATTATCATTTCGATCATTTGCTCATCTTCTTTATCATGACCCTGAACCATTCGTGAGGAGAGAATGTAATATACTTTTGTATGTAACCTATATCAAACTGATATAGATATCTTTGTTCTCATAAGCAATAATTTAGCTATTAAGTAGAGGCACTCAATAAATTATTTTGCTAAATCAACTATGATGTAAGCCAACTTATCAAGATAACTGTCTTGAATATAAAATCTGGAAATGATGCTCTAAATTAAATTATTGAGCAAGTTACCTCGCAAACACCAGGCTGCGGGTTAATAATAATCGCACGTATAACCATCTCATAGATACATCTTATGTGGTATACATGACAGGTGAATGAGCCCATATTCCCATTTGATATTTCCAGCATTCATGGAATTCGATCCCAATTTTAGTTGGCCTATTAATTAATGAGAACAAGCAACATGAGAGAATTCTTAAAGAACTTTCTAGTTCTTTGATATTAATCCATGTGAATTCTCTTTTATTTTTGCACATCATACTTAAATTAATATGGCTAAACCAATTATGCCAACTGGATAAATTACCAATATTGATAAACTTCAGGTTTGCACCATGACGTGTGCAATTATAAATAAACTCCAAGTTTATTATGATATGTGTTTTTATATCAATAAACATCCAGTTTACCGCGTCATATAATTTCACCATATTCTTTATTTGTGTAGTACAAACCAGACAATAAAGCGGGTAGTTTTTATATACATATTACCCCGCTACAGTTGTAGTAATATAAAGATATTAAATCTTTTGATTATTTATAGTCCTAATATAACCAACCGCTTTCGAGAATACTTTAGAAACTCAATAAGCTTTTTTTGAGACTTACTACAACACAATGCCTTATTGATAATTAATTTTATTCCTTCAAAATAATAATAATAATCGGCTCTTCTAAAGCTCTCAATTAGTTTGGTATTACCACATATTCATCAACATCTATATGGTGGATATCTCTTTTAAAGCGAAAGTTATACCATTATGGTCATGGTCAAAACTATATGCAAGATTTGTTTCTTGCATTACTGTTATTACACTTTAATCATCACATTACCAAAATATTTTGGCGTACAATAGGTATGTGACCAAGGACCATTCATGCCATAATAATGACATCATTTTGTTATATCATCTCAAACCTACTTCTAGAGGCGAGTGTGGTATATTCACTACCACTAGCACGTTCATATTCTTCCAAGGATGAATGTATTCATAAATCATATCTTGTCACATTCACATTATGAATGGACCATAATCATCTATTTGTGCTTTACTAAATCTCATGTCAAATTGATGATAAATATTACTTTCACGGAGTGAAGGATTATTTTGAGAATCCTTATTGCTCTTATTACCACAATGATGACGATTATAATTTCGTCTATTGCCACGTCCACATCTATTATTACCTTCACAGTCATAATTTTATCTTTTTTCAAACTTATCACATATTGCTATCACATTCTCTCAAGGGAATGAGAATGAAGGAAATTCAGTGAGACGTATTTTCTCTTCTTCTGCCCATAATCATACGTGAATTTGATCATGGCAAGACATAGAAATTTTACCACTTCGGGTGGTTATAATTTCTCACAAACTCTATTAGAGTTATAATCAAAATGTATTGTCTTTACTTGTATTTAAAATTAAATTATAGAATTTTAAGAATTTAAAAGAAAAAAAATAAGACAAAATACTTAACTTAAATCCGGAATAAAGAGTTTATTCCTGAAGAAAATTTATGGAACAATTAACAATCATCATGTTCAATATTATGTACAAGTTGAGCATCATATGCATATCCCAATTAAAATAACTGCTTGCTCTACTCGATTGGTTAGAGTCTCGTGCTGATAACGTGTTATAAAACAATAAAAGAAGAAGAAGACTATTACAGAGAAAAGTGTAGAGAGAGAATTCTTATTGATTTGGGATGAATTACAATGGAATAAAACCCCTCTATTTAATAGGGAAAAAGTGACTTAGACACCAAGTAACAAACCCTAAAATTTCTCTAAATATAGATATTCACCATAAATAAAATACTATTTGTAACATGAGTTGTTAAGTTTTAGTTCTTCACAAGCTTCCCCCACCCTCACCCCATACCCAGCTCAAATTAATTGTATTTTTCAGTGAATGTTTACTGTTGTTTTACCCAAATCGAATGTGAATTTTACTCTTTTTAGACCTTCTTTGTGCGTTCTAGTACTTTCATATTTTTGTTTGATGTGTTGAAGATCTAAAGTATCGTCTTCATCGATACCGCCATTAAGCGCCACTGTATTTATTGTACAATCATCATTGTGGGCGACTGTATTGATACAACCATTATGCACAAACAAATACAATTGATACAACTTTTTTACTAAATCTGTATTCGTCAATATAATTATGCATACAATTATGCGCTAACAAATACAATTGATACAACTTTTCCATCAAAACTGTATTCATTGATACAACCATTATGCACAAACTAAGACAGTTGATACAACTTTTCAATAAAAATTATATTCACTGATACACACAAACAGCCATACGGTATGTGTTGAAACAACTAAATCGATATATTAAGCTACAAAGGTAATTAGGAAAACCATAGTTACATGTGGTAATTAGGTTGAACTATATTACTTTATGAAAATTCCACAAAAAAAATTATACCGCCAACAAAATTAAAGTGGAACAAGACATTATCCTAATGTTGAAAAGTTGTCTCTTGAATGGTAAACCATAATAATCATTACTCGGTGTATGGCGTAAGATATAGTTTGCAGCTCTTTTGCCTAATGCCACCCATGTCCGTACCAAGCATGATAATTTGATATGCCAATCATGCCTGCACCCAAAATGAGGCAATTATCAGGAAAGTTTGTTAATCCAGTTCTCAACCACGACAAAATACTAAACGAGAGTATAAAGTTAAACAGGGGACCAATATTTAGCAGCTTAATTAGTGCATTTGTAGATAGCAGGGATTTCAAAATTCTACTAAGGGAATGAAATAGAACCAACAGGAAAACAAACAGGTTTGACAAGCTCTCCAGGGAGAAGTTGTTGCCTCTGAAAGTACGTAAGTTGTCACCATGGGTCGAGTGTTTATAAGCTATAAAAAGAACCTTCACCCCTCGACAAAAGCCAGTCTGGTTTAGTACACTGTTGGTTCAATCATATTTTTTGGCAGCATAACCATAAGATGGCAGGAGTTATCGTATATTCTCTCGGTTAAACTATATTTATAAAATCCAGTGAGGGTGAGGTGCACTGCTGCATTGGATACAAAACCGCAAAACTATTCAAATATTACCAAGAATACAAGTACCAGACAAAGTCAGCAAGAAAAAATTACATATATCAGAACTCAAAAAACGAGGGATTGCGACTAAGCATCTCTTTTTTTTGTCATGAATATGTTGTATGATGCAAAATATATCAAATCTTGGGAAAACAATACACCTATCATGCAAAGATAATTGACCACCTAATAAAGTTATTCTTTTCCAGACTAGCTTTCTAGTCCCTATTCTTGATCACCTAATACCAGAACGGGTGGAGCAGTATAACTTTATGCAACCGAATATGTTAATATGACCAAAATTTCATGTGTAATTTGAAAATATAATATGGCATGTCATTATAGCTAGACTAACAACCTAGATTGCCATGAATCTTAGTAGAGCCCAGACATTCTTTTTATAGGTCCAAAAGAGCTATGATGACTCAAAATAGAACTGGAAGAGCACGACAGGCTAAGAGCTAGTGCATTAACAGGATAGTCAATTTACGATTGCAATGGCAGATAAGCCAGTTAATAATCTTATTTGTCTGGCATTTTCGGGGACTGACCCGCTTCCACTCTTGAATTGAAACATTGACTAATAATTACCACGGTTTTCAATATCACTTTCAAGAGTTATTCTTTTTCGGATTAGCTTTCTAGTCCCTATTCTTGATCACACCTAATACCAGAAAGGTGGAGCAGTATAATTTGTGCAACCAAACTTGTCAATATGACCAAAATTTTGTGTGTAATTTCAACATAAAAATACTGCATGTCATTGTAGCTAGACTGACATGAATCTCAGTAGAGTCCCAACATTCTTAGCTCCGTAACGTGGCTAGGATCAAGTTCCGGAACTTCTTTATTCAGCATTTCCCGATCTTCTACCACGTATTCCTGTCAATACAAAAATAAAAGTATAAGCAAATTAAACATTTAGGGATCATTTGGTTTGAAGCATAAGAAAATTTTATCTCCATATAAATTCCATATTACTTATACATCGTTTGGTTTCTGATGAAGAAAACCTATGTGGAGTTTAATAAAGCAAACCATGTATTAGTTATAAAAGATTATATTAGTTATGCAGGATACGGAATTTAATATCGGTAACCAAACACTGCACTATAATTCCGGTATAACTTATACGAGAGGCATAGATGTATTAGCTTTACATGGATAAGAGTATCTAACTACATACTCTTACATAACTACATAATAATCTGTCTATTATTATTCACCACATAACTATTCATGCATTATTTCACCCATAAGAATCCTTGCATTATTATTCACCGTATAAACAATACCTACATTATAACTCTCACATAACTAGACCGTAAACCAAACGACCCCTTATATTTCTTTATAAAACAAGGGGAGTACTCCCATAAATGAAAGGTTAGATTGAAGAGGTGGAACTAAAATTATTCGCAAATAAAATCCAGTGTGCATGAAAAGAAGCCCCTTATGAAGGTGAATTATATTCCCAAGGAATGGGGCCTGACACTACTCAACTTGCAAATTTTTCAATATTTCACTAACAGATGTTCGTCTCCAATTAGAAGGTGAAAGGAACAAGTCTATGTCTTAGCAGTAGATGCAAAACCTTTGTGAGTTCTTTTTTGGCAAGAACGTGATAATGACGTTCACTAATTCTCTGTCCACAAATTATTGCTATGAAGAAACCATAAAGCAACCCCACCAATATGATTGCCAAAACTGCAAAATTAAACCAAAGAAGACATATTAGTCAGTTAGTTAGTAAGGGGGGTGGGAAGGTAAAGGCTCAAATCATTTTGAAGGCACAAATCTTGCACAGGAATATCTTCAATCCAGTAAACTTTATTAGAATGGCTGCAGTAGACGCACCAAATGAACGACACATTTCCCTTTGTCACAGTCTTCTAGAAAACAAATTCTACTCCAAAAAAGATTCTGACGACTCAAATCTTATGGTTGTAATTTTAAAAATTCAAGCATCTGAATCCTAATCTAATTGTCCTTTCCCTTGTTTCTCATAGACCACATCATACCATGCTTATTTTTCCCCCCCTAGAACCTGTTGCGCTGAATGTTTAAATACACATAAAGCACATTACAGCGTCTCAGCATCAACCTCACATAAAGTTTAAATGTCAGGATATTGAATATTGCAATCAATGTATCCAGTCTCCAAGTATCTCCATACTGTTAAGGAAGGGGGTAAGAGGTATATGTTTACCTTTTCCATGTATATATGCATCAGCCAAGGAAATTATTCCCATCGTAGGTATCTTGGCGAATAACCATCATTAATGGACAATCATCATGGAGAAATCAAGATCTACCTAAAAATAAAGCAGTGACAGCTTTCTTGAAAACAAAACAAAGAACAAATGCTAGCACCTTTTCCTTTCACCCCCCTTTCAGGTTTTGGACAATGCAGTTTCTCCCCTAATCGCCAAAATCAAATTCTTGCATTTTTTCCTCAGAATTTATTTTCCACAAATACATGTAATGGTATCTAAAGATGTTAATTCAGTTTGTTCTCCTAAACCAAATTCAAAACACTTACAACTTTTCTAGGAAAAAGAAACCAAAATCAAAACCAATCCTCCCACAACCAAATAGTTTCTAAACCAAACACTGCCTAAGAAGTCTCTAGAAGCCATGTCACATTAACAAAGGACTAAACATTTAGAAACTTTGGATAGATGATCAGTGTTCAACACTGAATATATTATGAAAAAAATTTGACAAAAAGATACGCAACCAAGATGTGATTTGTAAACCCACAAGCATAATTAAGTGGTTCACAAGTTTAAAAGAAGGGTAATGATGGATTAAGTCAGAAAATACCTGCCATTGTATAAAAGCCATATGGATGCTCTCGGTAGCCAAACATTTCCCTTAGTTCCTCCCCGTAAAATTTGTACACAAGTACTCCTAAGAATGCTACAATCTGTGAGAATTGTTCATTCAACAATCAGTAGAGACAGTTACTGGAAACATTTTCTTTTATAAGGTAAAGATGACAGTTAGTGGAAACAATTTTTTTTGTTGATAAGGTAAAGGTTTTTATTAAACTGGTACCAAGATGGTACAGAAAAAAGGTACAAGACATATCTGCAGCTCTTACATCAGGCATACTACATGTTTCCCCCTAATAGGTACAAAAAATCCAAGTACTAATCCATCCTATCCAGAGTACTACCATAACACCAAAAATACAGATTCTTTACTGGAAACAATTATATAAGATTGATAAGCTGCAATTGTACAGACAAAAACTCAACGATTTGTACATCCATTGGGCCCAAAGTTTAGCTTTTCTCCCCAGATTTTGTACATTACACGCTCAATGCAGATTCACTTTCAAGCTGTTTGGTACAGAGGACTCATATAACCAGTCCTGCTGATTTGGTGGAAGCAAAATTATTAATTGCTAGTGTAGAATCTTGTGATCATTATTTGTCCATTAACTGAATCCCCAGGCCCGTTTAAATATATGAAAATTCACTGACATAAAGCTAGCTGTATAGTATCCGAAGTGCTAGATGACACTTACATCAGATCCCAATATCTTCCTTACCAAATTTTAATAAAAATAGCAAAAAATTAGCTCAAGGCTTCACAGCCTTAATTAAGTCATTAAGACTTTCAAAGCTCTCTTTCAAGTAAAAGAAGTGAAAAGATTCCGGAAATCTTGTGCTTGGCAGTGAGCGTGAAGATCTTTTACTTTGAGAAACTTTATGGGGACTCTTGTAGAAGGGCCTCAATATCTTCTTGTGCATTATGATAAAACCACCATCACGAGAATAGTAAGTTACTGACAGCAGCCCAGAAGAAAACATATACTGACAACATTGAAGATCCACCTGTGGACTAGTGAATTAAGGTGTTGAGCATGTGGTAAATAAATACAAAGCTAGAAGAGCATAAACGAAAATTATAGCTACATGCAACTTCGGTACAGATAAACCATAGCCAAGATACACCACTTTTCAAATATAAAACTGGTAGGAACATAGGACAGAATGAAAGATATGGCAACGGATTTATGTCCATACCAACTGGACAATGAGAAAAATGAATGCATGATCTCTAGCCACAAGAAACTGGAATTTTAGCCTCAGCCACCAGCGATCAGGTGGGACGTTTGCCCGTAATATGAACTTTGCCCTGCATTCAGTACAGTGAGCAAAAGCAAAGCCCTCCTGGAAAATGGAGCCGCAAACACATCAACAACATTAAGCCAATAAGATGACAACAGGTCTCTTGTACAAAGTATAACCATTTATGACAATTTGAAAGTAAGTGATCCCTTTTTCTCCGAAGAACAATTTAGGCTTTTAATGCAAAAAAGCAAACTCAAAGAATTAATGAGATGTCCATTGACTACTATTAATATTGATCCAAAACAACTGCTATGAGAAAGCAAAAGAATTAAAATATATATGCATCTTCATGATACATCTTCATGATAAAATCATGTGGCACCCCAATCTTGATTCTTCAAAAATGGGAAGAATTTCACCCAAAGACTCACAATAGTTCAAATAATTCTAACTATGTCCACAAATTCACCGAGGGAATCATGAATAAAAGAGACTGAGTTAAAAGAGGAGAAGAGAGGAAAAAGTAATGAGGAAAAGAAGAGAACCTCCTTTTACTGCATCGGGTTAAACTGTAAGGACTATGCAAACATGGAATTAACACTTTATGAGGTTGTTTAATAGCTTCTTTCAATAACATAAGTGCTAACGACCACAAAATACCTTGTCTCAGTTCAAGGGCTATAAAGCTAGATGAACGCATACTAGTTCTTCACAATGGATAATTTGGGGGAATGCTTTCCAGATATTCGGTCAGATTTCCAAAGTTAACTGCTCTATGCATTGCTTCGTGGTCTTTTTGATGTAAACTAATTGCAGAGCAGTCTGAGTATAAAATTTATGTTCTCCAATGGAATTTTAATTTCCGCTACTTTTAGGAAATGGACACTAACTATTTAAAGAAAACATGCAAAAGGTAATTCACCTTAGTTGATCTCCAGTTATCAAGACATGATCTATGGACATACTTTTGGGTTCCTTTACAGTGGCAGGGTGCAATCAGATCTTCTCCTGAAAATCAGTCACCAAACTTCCAGCTGTAAGTACAGTAAACAACAACAATTCTAAGTATATATGTAACTACAATCACGTAGTCGAAAAGATACTCTTTATCATTGAGAAATATATCTTCCTGAATGGTCTACATATAACTAAGCGCATATTCAACACCTTCACTGTCCAGGCATATGCGACATTGGGATAGTTCTGCATGTGACAAAGATTGAATTCCGTCAACTTCCACACTTGGCAGGTGACCAGCAGTCTCCAAACAATCTTCGCTGGATGTAATTTCAGTTGAAGGTGAAGTGTCCTCAGATTCCTCGACAATGGCAATATGAGATAAGATGGGCTCTATTTCTGAACTATCCACTACCAGACTGTCATTTGACACTATTCGCATCGCGAAAAATCTTGATTCCAGATTAAGCTGTAAATCTCATCACGGGGGCTATTGTCCCTACAGACCATTTCAGCTGAGAGTGGGAAAACTGCAAACGGTAAAATAACTGAGAAAACCAGGAATCTGAAGCCCACTTAAAAATGCACTGCCTTAAGTTCGCCTATTCAGAAACAGCTGCTGATCAAATAATGTTTACAACGCTAACGACACTCTGTAATGTGCAGGATAATATGATCGTTGCTAAAGGACCATCCAGTTATTGCTAGAAATGCTTCATGAGCATTTTTGCAAGATGATCTTTTTGCCTAATTTACTTTGTTACAATTGAAATAAGCTTTACAAGACCATTATTGTACAAAATTACCTCTGTAACTGCATGAAATTTGATAAGATTATCAGCTTAATGCAAAGTCCCCTGGTGATGAAGAAAAAATCATTCTCAGAAAGGTACTACCTGTGACAGCAGCAAATACATTTTCAGCGATTTTCAAACTTTTCGACCATCCAAGTGGTTCATATGTAGAATCAGAACTTTATATGCAAGGACAGCCTATATGATCAAATGACTTATCAAGTTATTGTAGATGTATATTCTATCTTGTGACAAACATTATACTGTGTCAAGGAATTCATGTTTTAGTGGCCAGAAGAGATACATCAAAGAAAGGGAACCGTTGGCGCAACTGTAAAAAAGAGCAATATATTATAGCACAATCAGTGAATTTATTTCACAAGGCCTCCGCAGAATAAAAAAAGAAACAATGCTAATTCAAGTAGTGTAAGCACTCCCAATAGGTCAATGTAACAGGTGAGTGGTAGCAGGTGACTAGTGTCTTTCCAGATGAAAATGACGCATCAACCACAGCAAGAGGTAACACCCCAATGTGGTGATTTAGTCCATCTCGTCATTATGATATTAATCAACTCTTTCTAACCAGTACATGCGATAGAGTAATAGGAGAGGGAACTTAAAAGGAAGGGGAAATTGAGAAATAAACGTATGTTGGGGGGTTGAGGTAGCACTAAGACAATAAGCTTTCTAGAAATTGAAAGATGATTCAGTCAATTCCTAGCACGTCGTATACAATAAGCTTTCTATAAATTGAATCCTAACTCCGAAAGAAGTTATGGAAAAGGTTGAATCAGGACGAAGTCTCGTTTTAAGCAGTTTTGAGCTAAGAAACAAAATGAATCCGAACTATAAAAATGAAAAGTCGGTGTTCCGCAACGATGTAGAAGGAGAAGACTAACGGACCTGAAGGATGTTCAAGAGGAGTTGATGATGATCTGGAGATGCTTCATTTGGCCAAGTTGACAATCTGATAATAATGGGGCGGATGAGCTTCGGAGGTTTTGCCGGCACAAGGAGATCGGCACCTGGAAACAGGACACGACACGACGGGACTTTCCAAATGGATTGTTTTCTCCTTTTACAGTTGTTGACCCTTGCTACATATTGCTAAGGATATGTTTGGGAAACCATCTTGAATTTTTGTGTATAATTAGCTAGCGTTTGACCATACATCCAAATTTATTTTGAAAAAATTTGATTTGGGTGAAGTTTGGTTTGAAGATGAAAATATGTTTGGACATATGTTCAAAACATATTTTTCAACTTTATTTTGGAAAAACATGTATATAATTCCCAAGTTTTGGGATTTTGGGATTTAGGATTTGGCCAAAATGTGGGCAAAATTTATGGCCAAACATGAGTTTTGAAAATAAATCCCAATTTTATTTTGGCAAAACTCATGGCCAAACGGGGCCTTATAATCCGTTTAGACATAAGAATTTTTCATTTTTTTCCGAAAAATGTTCACTTTTTTTGAAATCGGAGTTAGATCATAAAATTTATACATTTCACTTGAAGATAATTATAAAAAATTTCGAAAATCTAAAAAACTCCAAAAACTATTTTTTTTTAAATTTTCACTCAGATCCCTCACAAAATTTTAATAACAATCCAAAATTATATTCATATCCAAACACAACTCTAATTTTCTAATAGCATTTTCACTTGAAAAATTTAGAATTTTACAATTCTTATGTCCAATGCCCACTTAGAATAATAATTATATATTTTAGCATGTTTGATTAATTGACGAGATATATTTATACGCCAGTTCTCTAAGGAGGCGAGAATAAGTGATAATTATTTTGCGTATTTACAAGGTAATTTTCAAATTCTTTTTTATTTTTTTGGTTTCAAAATTATTACTATTACTGTTACACTATTTCCTTCGCTTCTTTTCTTCTAGTTTTCCAACCTTTTCAAACACGTTACTTTATAGTGTGGTTTTATGCAATTTTGCAACTTCTCGTATTGTAATTTGCTTCTCCCTTTTTTATTTTTTAGTTCTTTTTTTTTCCTTCTTATTTTTCTTAATAGTTAAAAAAGATTTCGTATTTCCTAGCTTTCTTTTCAATTAATTGGTATAATTTTTTGTCATAGAAAATATTTTTAAACTCACATCTTGTTTTTTTTTGTAATCCAAACAATGCAAAAAAATCATGATTTTATCTTATATTTATATGGTTTGGTAAGAGATTTTACATTCAAACTTAAAAAATTTATTAACTAGTTCAAGTGAATATTTATTTGGAAAATACTAATTGTTCTTTACGATATTAGTAACTATTTTATAAATATTTAATACTTATGTTTTACAAATAAAAATATATAGTTTACATAATTTATAATAAATATTATTTAATACTATACACATATATCTGCTACACACTAAAATTTATTTACTTTTTCATCTAAAAAATTACTAAAATTATTATAATTAATTTTATTTAAAAATAGAAAATGTATCTAATTAGCAATTACACTAGTGCAGTCAAATATAGCTTTGATAATTACATTGTAATTGTATTATAATAGATAAATATATTTATAAATATTATTTTGTGCAAATATTATACTGTGCATATTTAATTACTACCTCAGAAATAAAATAAATAAGTATTTATACTTAACTTTTCAAACACAAATAAGTATTAATTTTGCTGCACATATTCATTGGGTATTTCGACACAAAAAGGAACAATAATAAAAAAGCTCATAATAAATTAATTGAGGTAATGTTTGTTAGCTTAAACAGGATTTGTAAAATACAAATTTTTTCATAACTTGTGATTGAAGAATACGAATTATAAATCGTAATCGAAAGAGTTCGACATATAAATCACAATTATGAATGCGATTTATATGTGGCAATTATAATACGGTGCAACTTATAAATTGCAATGGAAGTGGCAATCGATGAATGCGGGTATATATCGAATGAGAATGCGACGTATAAATCGCATGGAAAAAGCATTCACTGAACGTGACTTATGAGTTCATAGGAACTTTCAAATATTATACTCCTAAAACTTTATGTAGGAATTTAATAGGCCACGATGGAATAAGGAAGGTGTGAGGGCAGTGTTGGCTGCCATGGAAGGAGCTCAAGATCAACAGCAGCAACAGCCGCCCAGGGTGGCGGAGGGCCTGAATCCCGCCGTTCAACAGCAACTGAACCTGGAATCCGTCAAAACCCGAGCCATTAGTCTATTCAAGGCTATTTCTCGCATCCTCGAAGACTTCGACCCCATCGCTCGCACCAATGCAGTCCCCAAATGGTTCTCTTCTTTGTTTTCTTTAATTAATTTCTTCTATTTTTAGCAGTAGGAGGAAATTCCAAATGATCTGCTTATACATGTGGATTATCACAGTTGAGTGAGTGTAGACCTTCACTCTCTAGCACTTGCATATTATCCAACCCCTCTTACAATAAAAAAAGAACCAACCTAAGATAGACTTGCACATTGGCTAGTGGAAGGTAATGATGTATAAAAAGGTAGGCTTGCACAGATGATATTGATTTCCTTTTTGGTATCTTATTATACTGCTGATTTCTGTTTTCCAACCTAAAAAAAGAACCAACCTAATATGTTTTCCATATTATTTGGAAAATGTAATCCGAATTTTCCACGAGATAAATAAAGCCTAATTTTTTTGTTGGTGAAACTGTAAATAATACCGTTAACCAACAAGAAATCAATACACCCAAAGAGCACCTATTTTCCAAAACCACCTTCTAGGAAGGGTGCAATGAAGAATAAAGCCTAATTTTTTTTCACATGAAATCTGAGCTCCCACTTTCACACACACTTTATTTATCTATAGACTCTGTTTAACTAATTGGTTCTTGTTTGAAATTGAGATGAAGTATTTTACAGTTGATACTTGATGGTATATCCTTAAGAATTACCAATCAAAAAAGAAAAAGATGGTATTTTTAGGAACTATATAAAACTCATGATGGTTTCCAACTCATTCCTCATACATGTTAACCTTTAGTTTTTATAAATCCTCTTTGCCAGGCAAGATATTCTGGGGCAGTTTTCTATGGTGAATCTCAAGGTTTTTAACATTGTTGAAGATATTAAGAAGGTTTCCAAGGCTTTCGTTGTACACCCCAGGAATGTAAATGCTGAGAATGCTGCAAGTACGGACTTCTTTATTCACACTTGGTACTTTTATTGTCCTTTTCTAATTGTACACGCCAACCACTGATACTCGTCGTTGCGTATAAGCAAGCATGCGATCATTGAGGAGCCTTGGCGCAGAGGTTAGAGTTGTGCCGTGTGACTAGGGAGTCATGGGTTGTCGGGTTCAGCTTTGGAAAAAGCCTCGTGCAGAAAATGCAAAGTAAGGTCCGGCCTTCCCTTTACCCACCTCATAGAGAGAGCTTAATGCAACTGGCTACCTTTTTTGTTTTTGGTTCTACTTAATTTTTTCTTGTTCGGGGGAGGGGATTTAATTTTTCTTTGGGTGCCTTTTCGTTTCGATTGTTGCTAATTACTCGCTCTAAGTATCCCCTTTCTATGTCGGCCAACCTGATTTTTTTGTTAAGTATGTTCCACAACACCAAGTGGTACCCGAAAACTGTACATCTTACAATGGGTTTAGATCCTTCAATTTTTGCAAGGAGTTTAAAAGGTTCGTTATAGTGTTTTAAAATCATATACACGTCTTGTGTTACACCAAATACTCATACCTGATGTTAATATTGCCAGTTGGTCATTGCTTATTTACATCCTTGGTTACTCATCTACTTCTCGTGCAAGTGTATAACACCTTTTCTTTTTTGGTTGGGCTGAAGGAGGTGGTAAGAATTATTTTCCTCATTTATTTGAATTTAATGGCGTAAGCAAGATTAAGTGGACACGTTCGACATGTGTCCATGTTTGCTATTAAATACTTGAGTAATCAGATTGAAAAGATGATATAAATCTCTTTACCTCTATACATTGCGGATTGCGCTAAAGAGCAGTAGGGAAACACTAAATGATTAACCTGCAGGAAGCAAATTAATCATATCCTTTTTCCCTTCTTTTCCTTAACTTAAACACAACATTTAATCAATGTCCCCCAAGTTATGTTAATGTATGTGAGAATACACGGGAGAAAAATCTATTATTAACAATGATACAATGAGCCCTATATATAATACATGTTCTACTCCTACTACATATGGGACTAGGACTATTTACACATAACTATCTAATACTCCCCCTCAAGCCGGTGCATACAAATCATATGTACCGAGCTTGTTACATATGTAACTGATACGAGGATCAGTGAGGGACTTGGTGAAAGTATCTGCAAGCTTATTCGACATTCAAGCCCACTAGACTCCCCCTGAGCAACAAAACCAGGTGGTTGCTGATAAACAGAAGTTGGCCGAAAGGTTGCGGAAAAAATTTGAAAATAGTGAGGCTAAGCCGAATTCCACACTACGAAATAGGTTCTAAAACACCTCTAGAAACACATAAACTTTTTTGGAAATTACTATTCACGCAGGAATCACTGTTCAAGCCCGAAAATGGCACTGTTCACGCACTGTTTCCGAACAAGATAGGTAGTGGTGAGGAGATAAGGCAAATCAATCTTGAGTCGTCAACCGGAAAGACGCACGGTGGCTGACTTTTCTATTCCGATGGTATTGGAATTTCCGAGGTTTGGTCGCACAAGGGTTTCGGATCCAATGGTGGTACTGGTATATGCACAATACCACTGTAGCAGTGATTAACCCTGGGAACAAGACGAAGATGCCGGAAAATTGCACGACGATGAGATCTTTCTTCCCAGATATCGTCTGAATGACGCACAACAATAATTTTCTCACTGAAGCTCTGATGCCATGTGAGTGTGTTGGGATAAAAAATAAATATCCCGGCCAGGAATAATATCCACGATAAATAACAATAACACGAGAGTAACAACGACACCCAATATTTTAACGGGATAAAATACAATACCCCAGCGGAGCAATATTACCACTATAATATTACAACTTAGTAGTGTCAAGAGACTACTACAACTTCGAAAGAAATAACACTCTTTATTTTAAATACCTCACTACAATATTACTCTCACTCACTATTTATCTCACAGACTACAATATGTGGATTACTCTCTCTACGCTCTATTGCGCTCTCTTTGATTTTGGTGTGCTTTAAACTGAAACGAATCACTTCTTTTTATAGGCAAAGTTGCCGTCCAAGTTAGCCAATCAAATGCATTCATTGCAATTTGCAGATTTGCAAATTGCCGTCCATATCAACTTGTTGTAACCTTTTGTTTTGCTTTTTTGGTTGCAGCTTGTTGCCAACTTTCTCTTTTTCTTTATTTTTTTTTATTTATTTAAATGGGCTCTACAAATCTCTCCCTTAATTTTGATTTTTCTTCTTTATTCCAAGTATTGATCTCAATCTCTGAAAGTCTTCAAACTTGAGAGGCTTTGTAAAGATATCTGCAGCTTGATCACGAGACTTCACATATTTGAGCTTGACTTCCTTCTTGGCAATGCGTTCTCTGATAAAGTGATATCTTGTATCTATATGCTTGCTTCGATCATGATACACTGGATTCTTTGCAAGTGCTTGTGCGGATTTGTTGTCAATACAAATCTCTGTAGCTTCAATTTGTGGCAAATTGAGCTCTTTCAATAATCTTCTCAACCAAATAGCATGACAGGTACAAGATGTTGTGCTATATATTCAGCTTCACAAGTTGAGAGAGTAACAATTGGTTGTTTCTTTGAACTCCAAGATATAACAGAATCACCCAAGAAAAATCCAAAACCAGTAGTACTTTGTCTATCATCAATATCTCCGGCATAATCACTATCACAATATCCCATAAGGTTGAAGTCATTAGAAGAAGAATAAAATAACCCAAAGTCAATCGTACCTTTTAGGTAACGAAGAATTCTTCTAGTGACTTTCAAATGAGTGGAGGTACGAGCTTCCATGAAGCGGCTTACTACTCCAACTGCAAAGAGTATATCTGGCCTGGTACAAGTCAAGTACCTCAAACTTCCCACAAGACTTTTGAAAAATGTGGGATCCACTTTTTCTCCTTCATCAAACTTGGACAATTTTGTCCCACTCCATCGGTGTGTTCACGGGGTTGCAATCGAGCATGTTGAACTTCTTCAATATCTTTTTTGTATAGCTTTCTTGAGAGATAAAAATTCCATCCTCCATCTGCTTCACTTCTAGGCCCAGGTAGTATGACATGAGCCCTACGTCTGTCATCTCAAACTCACGGGACATATCTTTCTTAAAAGCTTCAAACAAACTTGAGTTATTGCCCGTAAAAATAAGATCATCAACATAAAGACAAACAAGCAAGATATCTCCATTAGTATGAACTTTAAGGTAAAGAGCATATTCATGGAGACAACGAGTAAACCCATTGTCTTGAAAATATTTGTTGATGCAACTATTCCATGCTCGTGGGGCTTGCTTTAATCCATATAAAGCTTTCTTCAACCGCAACACTTTATCTTCATGGTTTTTGACCACGAAGCCCAATGGTTGTTCAACATAGACTTCTTCTTCAAGATAGCCATTCAAGAAGGCTGACTTGACATCTAGTTGATGGATCTTCCACTTCATTTGCGCCGCCAAAGAGATCAGCAAACGAATCGTCTCCATGCGGGCAACAGGTGCATAGACTTCTTCATAGTCAATGCCTTGCCTTTGCTTGTAGCCTTTAGCCACAAGTCGTGCCTTGTATTTCTCCACATCTCCATCAGCATTCTTCTTTATTTTGTATATCCATTTCACTCCAATTGCTCGATGACCCTTGGGAAGAGTTGTTAACTCCCAAGTGTTGTTCTTCTCTATTGACTCAATCTCCTCTTCCATGGCTTGTCTCCACTTTTTGTTTGTAATAGCTTCATCAAAGTTCATTGGTTCACTGTCAGCAAAGAGACAACATAAAAAATCAAAATTAGTAACTTCTTCTGTGTCCTCATAGAGCTCTTGAATACTCCTTGTCCTTTGCGGCTGTTCATTTGAACTTTCTTGAGAAGAGGGAGATGCAACATTGGTTGGAGAAGGAGGTGGAGTTGTATCCTGCACAGGTTCCACGGTCTCTGGTTCTTCTTCATCACCAAAATATGGAAGAAAATCATATGAAGTTTCTTCCTGAGCTTCCCAATCCCATGCCAATTCTTCATCAAATTCAACATCGCGACTTACCACCACCTTACCACTGCTTGGGTTGTATAACTTGTATCCTTTTGAACTCGTATCATAGCCAACAAACACATGCTTGACACTTCGATCGTCAAGCTTCGCTCTCCCTTGCTGTGGCACATGAGCATATGCTATGCTCCCAAAGATTCTCAAGTGTTGACTACTTGGCTTTCTTCCACTCCATGCTTCTTGGGGGGTTTGATCTCTAACATTTCTTGTTGGAGACCTGTTGTTCAAATAAACTGCACAAGAAACAGCTTCGGCCCAAAATTCCTTGGGCATACTTTTAGCTTTCAACATACATCGTGCCATATTAAGAATCGTTCGATTCTTTCTCTCTGCAACTCCATTTTGTTGGGGTGAATAAGGTACCATTAGAGGGCGACGAATTCCATGAGACTGACAAAAGTCATTAAATTCGTTTGAAGTGAATTCGCCTCCTCTATCGGACCTTAGAGCTTTAATTTCATAGCCACTTTCTTTCTCCACAAGTACTTTGAAATTTTTAAAAGCAGCAAAAGCTTCAGATTTTTGGTTCAAGAAATAAACCCAAGTCTTTCTACTAAAGTCATCAATGAAAAGCAGAAAGTATCTACTTTTACCAAAAGAAGGTGGATTGATTGGTCCACACACATCAGTGTGAACAAGCTGGAGCGGCTTGGTTGATCTTGACATGGCCTCCTTTGGAAAACTCCTCCTTGCATGTTTTCCAAGAAGACAAGCTTCACACAATTGATTGGGATGGTTGATTGATGGTATCTCATGTACCATGTTCTTTTCTCCCATTGATTTGAGCGCTTCAAAATTCAAGTGCCCAAATCGCATGTGCCAACACCATGATTCATCTTGCACATTAGCCTTCAAACACTTTGCATCAATTGTTTTAAGATTCAGAGAAAACAATCTATTCTTTGCCATATGCACTTTAGCAATTAGAATTCCACTTGAATCTCTAAGACAAAGATGCATATTTTTCATGTGGATGTCATATTCCTTTTCAAGAAGTTGGCCCAAACTCAAAATATTACTTTTTAATTTTGGCACATAATAAACATCTTGAATTAGTTTGTGACTACCATCTTTACAGGAGATGAGAATCGTACCTATCCCTTCGATTTGAATCTTCGAGGTATCTCCAAAGGACACATTACCTCTCACCGTTTTATTGATCTCCACAAACTTTTCTTTGCATCCACACATATGATTGCTTGCTCCATTGTCTAAATACCACGAGCTGCAATCATCCCTGTCTCTTCCTTGAGTGCCAGCAATAACGTTGACTCATCTTCTTCTTTCTTGTCGTCAACAAGGTTAGCTTTCTCTTCAACATTGCTACGACATTCCCAAGAGTAATGGCCAAAATTTATGACAATTATAACACTCAATTTTTGATTTGTCATACCTTTGTCCATTATTTTCTTGATAGTAGCCACGTCCTCTTCCTCCTCTATGTCCACGACCACGACCTCTGAATGCTTGGTGGATTTTAACTTCATTGTTGAAGTTGTTACCATTACTTCTTCCTCGTCCATGACCGCCACGGCCTCGTCCTCGTCCATTCCCTCGATAGCTTTTTTCACCTCCATAATCCTTAAAGGATGCCTGAGTTTTAAGAAGTTGCTCCAGTGGCACTTCTTGTCTCCTCTTGATCTTTTCTTCATGAGCCTGTAAAGAACACTCCAATTGCTCCACCATCATTGAGTCTAAATCTTTAGACTCTTCAATAGCACACACCACAAAATCGAATTTAGGTGTTAAAGTACGAAGGATCTTTTCTACCACACGGACATCTTTTATGTCATCCCCGTATCTTTTTAATTGATTTACAACAGCCTTTACTTTTGAACAATAATCCGAAATGCATTTGGATTCTTTCATTTTTAAAACTTCAAAATCAACCCTTAGAGTTTGAAGTTTTACCTTCCTCACCTTGTCAACTCCTTGAAGAGAATTTTGTAAAATTTCCCAAGCTTCCTTTGAGGTGGTAGCATCTGCCACCTTCTCAAACATGGCATCATCCAAACATTGGTGGATGAGCGTGAGGGCTTGTTGATCCTTCTTCCTTGTCTTTGCCAAGACATCTTTTTCATTTTGAGGCGGAGCTTCCTCATTATCGGGTTTTGCATACCCTCTATCTACGATTTCCCACACATCCTGAGAGCTTAGAATGACTTTCATACGTAGACACCATTTCTCATAATTATCTTTTGTAAGACGGGGATACTGAAAAGACAGCGGACCATTACTCGCCATGGCTCTGATACCACGTTGTTGGGAATAAAAAATAAATATCCCGCCCAGGAATAATATCCACCATAAATAACAATAACACAAGAGAGTAACAACGACTCCCAATATTTTAACGGGATAAAATACAATACCCCAGCGGAGCAATATTACCACTATAATATTACAACTTAGTAGTGTCAAGAGACTACTACAACTTCGAAAGAAATAACACTTTTTATTTTAAATACCTCACTACAATATTACTCCCACTCACTATTTATCTCACAGACTACAATCTGTGGATTACTCTCTCTACGCTCTATTGCGCTCTCTCTGATTTTGGTGTGCTTTAAAGTGAAACGAATCACTTCTTTTTATAGGCAAAGTTGTCGTCCAAGTTAGCCAATCAAATGCATTCATTGCAATTTGCAGATTTGCAAATTGCCGTCCATATCAACTTGTTGTTTGCTTTTTTGGTTGCAGCTTGTTGCCAGCTTTCTCTTTTTCTTTATTTATTTTTTTTTATTTATTTAAATGGGCTCTACATACCAGATATCGTTGGAATGACGCACAACAATAATTTTCTCACTGAAGCTCTGATACCATGTGAGTGTACACGGGAGAAAAATCTATTATTAATAATAATACAATGAGCCCTATATATAATACATATTCTACTCCTATTACATATGGGACTAGGACTATTCTACTCCTACTACATATGAGACTAGGACATTCTATTCCTACTACATATGGGACTAGGATATTTACACATAACTATCTAACATGGTATTGAGTCCATATCTCATTAGAAGCTCTTCAATTCTGATATATATGTGTTGCTGTTAGAGTAGGCTTGTGGAGCTCTTAGAGCAGCAGCTTCTCCTTCTGGGACTACTTCCCTTGATACTACAACAGCATCCCCCTTGCCACATGTCAACTCACCTAGGTCTAGTGCTAACATGATGAATACACCATCTCCTCAGCAACAGAGCCTTCAGCAACAGCAGCATCAACAACAGCAGGAGCAGCTGCTCCAGCAGAGGCAGAGAATAATGCAGTTGCCTCAGCATCAGCAGCAACTTCTTGCCCAACAGCAGCTTAGGCAAGCCTCAATGCCTGGACTGGGACAGGTACAGTTTGTACAACCATCTTGACTGGTTTAAGGTATCTCTTTGTGAAATTGCATGAGATATAGTGTGCATATTCTGCAATGCTTGTTCTTTTTTGTCAACTAAGTTTTTTTTTTTAATAATGACCAAATATGCTAGTTTTACTAACAAAATAAGGCGATAGAATGATAGATGCGATTACTAGTTGTATGCAAGAGAGCACTGTTCAAATAACTTGCTTTTGTTATCCCATCAGTTATCTTAAAACTCATCGAGTTGCTTTGTCTCTGAAAATACAGTACAAATACCAAAATATGCTTTGTGTAGCATCGGATTTTCCTCTGCTCAAATGTCTGTTCTATGCTTTCTAGATTGTCCAGTATATCGCATGTGGGATGCCATCTGACACTCTTTTTCTACTTTTGCATCCTTATCTGAGATTTCAAGCATTTCAAGTCTCTCTTTAACATTGTAGATACCTATAAACTGCAGCCCCCATAATTTACCATAAAAATTACTGTGTATTAATAAATGGACTAGCTAATAAGTATCAAATGCTGAAAAGCACTTTTAGATGCTGAAACTAACTGTATAAATAAGTTGTTACGTGATTCGATAGAAGTGCTGAAACTGATTATAATCCGTTAGTGTATTTGGCAAGCACATTCTCTGTTAAAATGACTGAGAAGTCCTTAAAGATATGCAAATATAAATATGAAAGTATTTTCACATTAAAAAAGATGAATGACGGAGATAGAATATAAAGATAATTAGGACTTCTGTTTTAGGAAGAGTATTTTGGAGATCACAAAAGATATTAAGAATAAAAATGGTAAAAGGTTTGATCAACCTAAAAGTGTTTATGGCTTTTGGCTGATGACTTATAAGTACTTTTGATGTTACCAAACGCGTAGATATGCCAAGGTTATAAGCTTAGCCAAACACCCTCTATAGCTTCTTTTGTTTCCTCTAATTATCAGCTGTGTGAATTGAATCCGAGGCAGCTGCCCTCACAAACTCTTTTTGTCTTTGCTGCCCAAATAGCTGCATTAGGGAATCCCTTGACTATTTTATGACAACCTATAAATGGATTTAACAGTGGAAGAGCCTGAATCACCTTCCAACTGAGAAACATCTTTCTCGTACAAAAGCATAAAAATCTGATTCAAATTCTTTTCAGGAGGAAGTGTTAGTTAAGATCTTACCTAGATAATTGCTTACTCCAGCAGATTACAGTATTTTCCAAATAGTAAGAACTTTTTAGTCTTTAACAAAAACGGGACAAAAATTGTTTTCTGCAAACCAGAAAACTACTGCGAACTGTATTTTTTTCTTTATTTTTGGTCTAAAGAAAGCTTTGTAGATGATGCAGTACCTTTACTTGACATGATTGATTCCTTGTAAGAAGGACAGGGGATACTCTGTGTGGCATTTTGAACTGTAAATATAGCTTCAGCACAGCCTTTAGGTTGATATTAATACAATGTTACGTTCATAAAACATATTGATTTTCTTCACTTTTAATATGCTTATTATGAAGGGTTTCTTCAAACCTGAATATAATCATTATCCTACTTGGTAATAGTATATTATTTTCTGTCATTCATTACACTGGCCAATATGTAATAACTAATGAGCCTGTTTATTAGCTGCATGGTCAGCCTCAGATGCATTTCTCTCAGCCACTGGGAGCACAGCAGTATCAGGGCAGGCAACTACCATCTGGTGCCATTCATCATGGTATGGGTCAATGTCAGCTCAACCAAGGAAATAAGCTGAATCGACATTTAAACCAGTTTTCTAGTCCTATGAATACTGCACTATTCAATTCTGCCCAAAGCACACCTAACTCTCAGATGGTGAGTCACAAATTTCAGTTTTTATTTTATTTGATTCTTCATCAGGCAGCCTATCCGTAATGACTTACTCCATTTGAAATCCAACATTCTACATGGCATGTTTAAGGCCACAAGATTCACATGGCATTTTGTTACATTACACACATCTTTAGTCTAAGACGACAAGATTCAAAAGTCTCCCTTATTTTCTTAAACTCCGTGCCTAGTCATACTAAGAAACTTAAATTGGAACCGAGGAGTATTTGTTTTGTCCAATAGTTTTGAGTTCAAAACCATCAGATTCTGCTGTTTTCTGCCTCTTTAAAAATATTTGGGTTTATTCTTGTTTTCTTGCTATGGCAAGTTGCAGAACTGGAGAATGAATTAAATCTTTTAACCTAATCTGCTATGTGGTCTTATTCTGCTTCCTGGTAGACCGTGGAACCTAGATATGTCTATTGAAGTGACATACTTGTATTTTTCAACAGCATGTTGGTGCAGAGGAACTTTCTTTCTAATTTTGCAAACTGCCCATTCTACCAACTAGGACTTCTTCATATACAGTTCCTATTGGATTTAAATGCAAGTTTCTTATCACATGCATTGAACTGGTATTTCACATACTGAAAATTTCGGGGATCTTTAAAATTGATGGTTCTAACAAAATATTCGTTGCATTGCATGCATTGAAGCAGTTACAAAAGTATTAGAAAATTTTCATATGTATTTGGTTCCCACTGGACCCAACAGTTTGTCAACTAGTTTTTTTCCCTCAAAAGGCACTCATTGTTGTACAGCACATGCCATGAGGTTATTGATTAGGTCAGCTGTGTGTGTAGTCCTCCCCTATGACATAGATATAACTAACTTCCTCAGTATACATGCTAATGCAATGCTCATCTGGTTTGTTCTGTGTCATGCTTCATTAGATCGTTTGAGTATTTGTTGTTTATTGCTTTATTATCTGTTTTATTGATGAACCAGTTCACTGAGTTATCTACTATGTACAAGCTATTTCTTTGTTACTTGTTCTACCATTGAAATGTGCTGAAAGTACACATCAATTCTCAATTTGTCATGCATTCTTTCTTGGGCTTAAAATTTCAAATATCCAGTCTGCTTCGCATCATGTTAAACTTATTCTGTATGGCAGATCAGTAATATGTCAGCAATGATGTCATCGCAAACTCTTCTGCCACGAATGCAGGTGTGTCAAAATGTATTGCCTAGTGCTGTCGTCATGCATGCTGGAGTTATTATTTGGTCTATCTATAATTATAACTCGGGACGAGGTGAAAATGCCTTCTCTGGAGTGTAAAGTGAGATCTTGATGTCTTTTGTTAGCTTCAAAGGGAGAAAAGTTCATTTGTTTTCTGTATGAGTGTTGATTGGAATTTTCTATTTTATTGGCATTACACGCCTCAAATGTTTTCTGTTTTGAGATTCTGTCTTGACTGTGAATTTGGTCTAAATTGATGGGAGGCTACAGCTTCCCTGTTTTGCGTGAGCTAAGTATAATCTTTTTGTTACATTTTAACTTACATTTCTTGAAATTGACTACATATGATTAAGGATGTATGTTAGTCTTTCACATGTTCGAGGATATTGCGCACTTAAGTTCTGCTTTTTGAAAGCCATTTGCATGGAATAACCTATTTCTTCCATGTTTCTTTTGTATTATGTTGCCATTTGTTTTATGGCCTCATATTACTACTTTCAGTTTGGAATATCTGGTGGAACCAGGAATCTTGCTGCTGCAAACCTGAGTGATCAAAGTAAAAGCGCCTCCATCTTTCATGTAGTTCTGTTCAAATGGATTTGTCTTCCTTTTTAAGCCCGGCGAGAGAATGTTGTAAACCAGATAAACGTGCAGCTTGTTTCTAGTTGCAAAACGTTTGTTCCTAAACAGGGATGACGTTTTCTCTGCAGTGTTCAATATGAGTGGAAACAATCCTGGTATGATGCCAATCCAACAACAGCAGCAGCATGATGTCTGTATGAGGGGAAGGGGGTGGTGAGAATGGTGGGGAAGGAGAAGGGGACGAAGAGAAATAGTAGGGGTGATGTGCAGGTTCTACCTCATAGGACATGCACATCACCCCTACTTTTTAACATTTAAAAATAAATTTTACATTGGATAAAATTAATGTTTAGTAAAAAATTTAATATTTAGGACATTAAAATTAGCTAAAAATTTTATTACTAAATCTTTTCTTATTTGAATGATATAGGAACTCCTAATATTCAGGAATGTAGTCTCAATATGATTATTTATATAAGTTGACTAAGTTAATTTTCACAAGAATATATGATTTTAGAAATTTTTATTTTACCTAGAATAAGGCGACATTAGAAGTCTTCCACTTCAAGATACCAAGAGATGAAAACTTAAAGCAAAACTCAAGAGCTCACAATTATTTTTTAATTAGCTAAAATCTTACGTAAAATATTTAAGGTGGGTAATGTTAAAAATGTTAGCTATTTCAAACTATTCCTCTTCGAAGAAAATGTTAATAAAACACTTTCCAAAAGTATTGTCAAAACTAGTGTCAATAAAGAAATCTTCTTTTATTGAGTTAGATAAATGTACTCGGAATTTTTAAAATTTTATTTAATAATTCAGATACTTTGGTAAATAATATCTATGTAATTTTATAAAAAATTGTATTCGTTGATATGAAATGCACGTGCAACGCGCATATTTTAAGACTAGTATGATATATATATATATATATATATATATATATATATATATATATATTATATATATATATATATATACACACACACGTGTATTTCATATCAACGAATACAAAATTTTATTCATATATATAAATTCTCTCTCTGTATATATATATATATATATACACACTCCTATATACATGGATAGGAAATAGTAGTAGTAATAATAATAATAATAATAATAATAATAATAATAATAATAATAATAATAATAATAATAATAATATGACAAACTTAGGGGACTGATTTGGAAATTTTCTCGATATTATTAAAAATGATAAGTTTGATGTATTATCGTCTAGTCAAACGGTCACGTACAGTCAAAAAGAAAGAACTGTGGGAGTCGAAGAGAGAGGTTAAGAGAGAAATGATAGCGGTGGTTAAATGGAGTGGACGGAAATGAATGGCAAAAGAGAGTAAAGGTATCATCATCGGTACAGAAAGGGCATATCGATCCTCTCGTCTCTCGTTTTCTCTATCGTCAGTCCCTAGCGCAGTGGGAGCTCAAGCTACACAAGCTGCCGAGAGAGAGAGAGAGAGAGAGCGCAGCTGCGTTGCAAAGGGGTCAATTCTTAATCGGTATGTTCCCCTTTTTAGCTCTTGCGGTTCCGCTCTCCTTTCCGCAAATTGTAATTTAACCTACTTCCGTAGAATCAGTTTCTTCCCCCGCCCTTTTAACTAACTTGGGTTTTCAGTCTTTAAATGTCAAAAAAGTAGAAACTCCTACCTCCTAATCAGTGTGGAGATAATTGTTCCATCACCATTCCATTGCCTGATTATTCTGAAAAGCAAAAAATGGATTTCTTATGCGTCAGATAATGCTAGAATTAGTATCGTCGATCATGGTGGTGTAGATACCTAGTGCTTTACTAACTTCAATTTGTGGAATTTATTGTTCAAGTTATGGTAATTTCGTGGAAACTCCAAGTTGGCTTGTCATTGTTCTTTTCACCTTTGACTTGTTTATTCTCTTTACTCAGAACCAGTTCTTCTTCATTGGTGATGCATATAGATAGTGTGGTTTTCTTGTCCCGATGTCAAACGAAGGCAACCATGTCTCTCTGTCTTCCGCTGATTGTGCTTTTGGGAAGCTTCCAGATCATCTGCTTGTAGAAATTTTTATTTGCGTCCCTATATCTGACTGGGGACATCTGTCTTGTGTTAAGAAACATTGGGCTCATCTGTTTCGGCAAGAGTTCTTGTGGAATGCTGCTCTTCTCAGAACTTTTCCTCTAGCTCGCCACGTTAAGAGATGGCCAGGGCCTATTCCTCAAGGCTTGAGCAAAAGGTAGGAGGAAAGAGCTGATGTGCACTCTTTTATTGTGCAGGCAGGGGAAACAAATTACTGAAAATTTTCATTAATTGGCATTTGAAAACTTAAAGACATCTCATGATATTACCGCCATTTCATTCAATTCATTTTTAGTTGTTTGGTGCTCCTAGTTTCCATATGGAATGTCTCTCTTGCATTTTGAGTTCATGCTGAAATGATGTCACTGTTTCAGTTAGAAAGTTTAGTGCACCCCTATTTACAATTCAGAATGTCCTCTTCTTCAATGCCTTGATTTTCAATTCTTACTTTCCAAAGTAAAAGCATGATAATTTGGAGGGAGAAAAGAGTTTCGACTTTATCTTAAAAATATTCCAGATATATTCAAAAGCAAAAGTTTTCACCCGTTCTGGATAAAACATGACACTATGGATTGTCTTTGCATCACCATATTCCTGGAATAGTCATTTTGGTTTATGATAAGATAGGCACTAGACTGTTAAAAAAGCATATGACTGTATGAAGTTAGATATGATGAAAAGAATTATGTTTATGAAAGCTTTGAAGTTCGTCATCAAAAGAATGTAAGCTTTGAAGTTAGCTATACTTCCTTTATATTCTGAGAGAACAGACAGCGACGTTGGTCTGCACTCTAAAATGAATAAGATCGAAGAAAAAAGCTTATTTTAGAGCATCTTAAGGTTAATAGTTAATTTGACATCATGTTTGATTTGTTATATCAAAATTTGCCAATTCTTGTTTCATGTTTTCTCTATGAGTGACATCCTGGTGCCATTACCTTGTTTCAGGAGATATGCTGCACTGTATATCAGCAAACATATCTTTTCTCTGGGTGAAGAAGTGGACGACGAGATTGTTGGTCATGTCTATTTATTTCTCAAAGAGCAGCTTGAAATTTCGAAAATGCCACCTTTGTCTGGAGTACTTCATGGAACCATCATAGGTACAGTCTCATTAATGACCTACATTTCTGCTATTCCTCTTTTCGTTTGACGGACCTCTTGCTGTTTCTTATATTAAGAGATCCAAAGAGATACTTCAGATGTGAGGATTTCAGTATGACAATCTTGGCCTGGCTTTCCTATTTCCTGAAAGCTTTAGCACTTCCATGTGCAAAGGAAATCATGTTCTCTGTCGTTTTTTTCTCATTCATAAACAAGATACTTTATTCCCAAAAGGTTATATTAGTGGGAAAAGGAACTAGGTAGAAAATCAGCATAATCCTTTTCTGGCAAGGGAAATGTTAAGAACCATTGCCCGAAAGAATAATAGCAAAAAGACTCAGCCTTGATAGGTCACACCAATGTTTTTAGTTCGAAAACCGGTAGCACTCTGCACTAGGTATTATGTTTTGATGTTTTCACAACAGAATAAAGCTAATAGAAGGTTAATATATCATCAAAATTTGAAGTACAAAATAAATTGTTTCTGAAACATGGTGGGTTACACCACTGATGTATAAAGTTGAGGCAAAGGTAAATGGATAAAGAAGATACAAAAAGCTTCCTAATCTTCATTTGGTGAAAGGCCATTGCAGTTACCACCATGAGGATTACGGCGTCCGCTACTTAAAAACGTGCCAAGTTCCGAGTTGCATCATTCTGCTTCTGTATATAATAGAGAGCACAGTCCTTAAGCTGATAATTGCAGGAAATCTTAATATTTCATCTCAAACCAATGAAGTAAGGTGCAGGTATTATCAGTCTAATCAAGACTTAAGTGCATAGCAACTTCAGATGGTAGGTTTCTTTGAAGTGTGTCTTAAGTTTCCTTGGCTTTACTTGAGCTTTGATTTGGACAACATAATGCCCAAACAATTAGGCACATGCCTTTGCTGGTAGAGATTTAATGCCTCTACTCTATTGAGCTCGAAACTTCCAAACTCTGGATGTTAAGTTTTCCTTGATATCATTTGACTTCATTTTCTCTTATTAAGAGTGGGGATATTTGGAAAGAGATACAATATCGGGTATCCTCTCTGGATTTTGAACAGATCTAAGATGGGGTGGTAGCGCCTGCTTTATTTCATGTGCTTTGAATTTGTATACCGGTCTGAGAAAAGTTAGCTCAGAATATGTTGGAGTCAGCTACAGATTCTCTATATCATATCTGTCCATTTGAACCTGTGTCATTCTAATACTCAACAATATATCTTTTGGAGTAAGGTTTTTTTAATGAGTAGAGGTTCTCTGCATCTCACAGTTATCCCTGCACTGTGCAGAAACCTCGGAAAAGAATTAAATAAACCCTTGGCTAAAACCAAACCAATGTACAATATTGCTACATTGGAAGGAGCCGTTACAGCCATTCAGACTGTTCCAAAATACCCTTCAGAAATGAATAGAAATAAAAGGCGGAGAAGGGGTCATTGGAACAACAATATGATTGTGCTATATTCTAGTGGAACTAGTGAGATTGGAAGAAACTATGTGCATCAGAGCCCAGAAGGAGCTACTTGCTCGAACAGTTACGGCTTTAACTGATTAATGCTATTACGTATAGAATATCAGCTTATCGGCTGCCTTGCAGATTACTATGGCTAGCCCGACAATGAAGCTGTACCACGGCTTTAGCTTGTGAAGGAACACTCGGAAATTAGATGGCGTACCATTGAGCAGGAAAAGTGACGCCATGGAGAAACTATGGATCATGCCATAATTTATTTAGGCGTTATTTCTTACTTTTTAAGTTAAATTTACCTCTTTTATGGCTTCTCTGTCATTCTGAAACAGAAATATGATATTATGCAGCAGACACTTGTAAAAAAGAAATTATGCAACATACATGAGATCTTCCGGTGAGATCTGATATCAGTTCAAAAATCCAGGGCAAACAAGCTTATGAAGTGGCTTTGATATCACAATCCCTTGAGGACTATTTGGAGAAGGAACATTTTCTTTAATCTGTACTTGTATAGACTCAGAAGACTATGTTTGGTTGTGCTGTTCTTCTGTGTAGATGCACCCGCATGTCTATATTATAGGTGTCAAGTCAGAAACTAACTTTGATATGGCCCCATCTATTGGAATTAAGCGTGGATCTATTTAGTGTTTAACGCTCTCTACACTCACAGTATCCTGATATTAACCCATTATTTAACTTTTCCTTCTCAACCCATAATCTTGCTTTATCTTTTTGTTTCTCCAGATCAGTTTATTGCCTGTGGTAAGTCGAGGGACATGGCTCATGAGCTTGCTTCAATAATATGGCTGGCTGTGATCGACAACTTGGAAGAGAATGAGCAAACATTTGATTTACTAAAGCGTCTTGCATCAGAAGGGGATGTAAGCAAAATCACAAAATCTTCTGTTCTTTGTCGTACCTCTTATAATCAGTGTGTGTGTCCTGTATTGATGGTCTTGTTATGAGCATCGTCTTTCTGAAGGTCAAAAGAGGGGGTTGGAGTGTCTGCAAATCAGAGTTCTTGATGTGTGCTTGTGTCCAATAGTTGTTAAATCAACCTGTAGTGATAGTTCTGTGTTGTTTTATACTTATCAAAAAAACAAAAAAAAGTTGTATGTTGTTTTATCTGCCAAGTTTTGCTATGTGGTAGGAGCTTGATTATAAGAGGCTAACTATCCAAATATTAAAGATGGCAGTAAGAGCGTCAAAACAAATAGAGCATGTGAAAGATTTCCACCTTATTCCGGAGTCTTTTGATGCAATTATCTTACTTTATAGTTCAGACAATTTTCATGCTTTCTTTAGTAACATAGTGCTTTGTCTGTCCTTCAATATTTTTGCAGGTGATCCTACCTTTCCCGTACTCAAGGTCTTATAAAATCCAATCTCGAGTGTTTGAAAGGCTTTTCACAGACTTCCGTGACTGCCTGAATCATGTGGAGTACTGCGATCTTTTGGCATGTGCCAAGCAAAAGTTTCAACCTATACCATCTGCATGGTTGGGTTACTAGCTTTGCAGCATACACTTATAAGTGTGTACAGAATGCAAGTCTACTGCACACAAATAATAAAAGAAAAAGAAAAAGGGTCCTCCCTGGACATGCTTAAGACTAATTGCAGATAGTGCAAGCGTCTATTGTGTTCCTGATTCGTAATATGTAATCTTGCAAGACATGTAAATAGAACATGATGGAGTGACAAGACTATGAATTCTAAATGCATATTGTAAAGGTTTATGTTTGAAATAAATGTGCTTTCAACCTCTCGGACTTGGAAAACAGGGGGAGGGGGCGGAGCCACATGCACTCAAGGGGTGTCAACCGATACCCCTTCGTCGGAAAATTACACTGTGTAGCTAGGTAATAGTAAAAAAAATGTGTATATACTATATATTTTGACCCCCTTTAATGAAAATTCTGGCTCCGCCATTGCCTACACCGTGATCATGGAATTACAAACTTAATGCAGCTTTCCTAGTATCTTATAGGAGTAAAAATTAAAGTAATTAATATTTCATAATTTTGTTTAATCGTAGCGAGCAATATTTTCATCCAACGGTTGTAATTTGTTTAGTAAAAGATTTTAGATATTGGATATTAACTAATACATAGACAAGTTCAAAGACTCTAGATAACGGGAAAAACACACAAGTTATTGCATTGTTCTAAGAATGATAAGTTAGCAAATGTAGACAATCAACTTGGTCCATACTTGATTAAAACAAAGCCATATTTTATAGCCTAACAAAAACATGATAATAAATGGATATTTTATTGCAAGTAGTTAACCAAACCATCTACCTCACTGCGAAATCATCAAAATTTGGGCCTTACCAGTGGTGTTGTAGAGTTCAATATCTGTGAGTGTAAAATAATGTAAGTGAAGATCTAATGTTCTATTTCTATCTCTTGTAAGTCAAACATTTGACCACATGTTGCTATATGATATATGAATAGTGTTAAATTTCTCTTTTCTATGATAAAAAATTAGTTTTAACTTTTAAAATGTACAATATCGAATTTATCATATACCAACCAGTGGTGTTGAAAGTAAATTGTCTTTTTATGTATTAGGTCAAGTTAAACTAAAGGAATTGTGTACTAGAAAAAAAAACACAAACATCATTCAACTATGTTATCTAGTGATTCTCTATATCATTTAAAAATTATAAAAAAACAAAGATTTTGGATTAGCTTCGCAGCAACCATCTTTTTGTCTATCGTAGAAATGATTTGGCGTCTGGTGTCTCCTAGAAGATAGTTTAAGGTATGCATGCAGGTTCAAATATAACTTTTAGGTTCATTCGGATTCATAGTTTTTGATATATAGTATAATATTATATAAGTAAAAATTTACTAAAATCTCAACAAATATGAAATTTGAACACATAATATACAGTACAATGAATAGCATATTAAATTTAAATCCTGAACGTATATATGGAATAAGAAATACTAGAAACATTACTCTAAGAGACCTTTTGGACATAAGAAATTTTTTCCTTTTTTTTTCAAAAAAATTTCACTTTTCTCCAAAATCAGCGTTTGTTCATAAAAATTTTAATTTTCACTTGAAGATGCATTTTGGAAATTTTCGAAAATTTGAAAAACTCAAAAAAACTATTTTTGAAAAATTTCACTCAAATCACTCACAAAACTTAAAAAATAATCCAAAATTTAATATATGTCCAAACACAACTCTAAACTTTTTCAAATACCATTTTCACTTGAACTTACCCCCCCCCCCACCCCCCCCCACCCTATTTTGGAATTTTACCATTTTATGTCCAAACGCCCACTAAGTGTTATAAAAAGGGTATAAACGTCATTTAGTTTCATTTTGGACAAAATGGTGCGTATAAATAAAGAGAGGGAATAAAATAGTGAAAGAATAGAGCAAGAGAGGATTTTTCAAACCCCGTGGTGGGGTTTTACAAGCGACATTTGTAATCTAATTTTAAACAAACAAGAAAACTCTTCAATTCTTCTTCCTTCTTTCTCTCTCCTCTAAGTATAGCTCTGCGCTGCCTCTGGAATTGATCATCACACACCGTCGGGAAGTTTTATAGCAGACTCTCTCCTTGTGGTCGGTCAGCAGCTCCTGCAGGTCTGTAATCACTTCACCTACACTCTACTCTATACATGTGTGTGTTGTTGGTTAGTTTACTAGGGTTCTTATGTTACAGTTTGACTCACTCTACTCCTTGTTTTTGTTGTACTCTCTCTCCCTTGCCCTGTCTTCTTTCTTCCTATCAGGGTTAGCAAGCGATTCTACCAGAGCCGTTGGGTCTAAAGGTTTTTGCTTTATTGAAATAGCTGTTTTTCAATTATCTTTTGATTTTTTTTTTAAATTCACCTTTGGGTGACTTATAGTCGCTTTTTTGTTGTTGATATTTTGTCCAAATAGTGTCTTTTAGCTGTTTACTCACGTAGTTCCCCTTTTGGGTGCCAAATATCCTGCTGATACGGTGTCATCGCGGAGCATGGTAATTTGGGATAGCATCTTACAAGCAGGAACTTTTGTGCGGTTTCTAATGGGAATTATGCATTTTGTCGTAGTAATGTTTCTTATATTAGTCTCTGGTGGCATTTTTTAAGGGATTGGACATTAATATGCAAAATAAAGTTTCACAATTATTCCGGGTATCATATACCAAATACAATTCTATTTAGGCAATTAAACCATTCAGGTTCTTTAAATCACTAAAAGAGAAAAATGAAATTTTTTGAATAAAATGGAATTTTATGGATAAAATGGAAAGCAAAAGCTTTAAGTTTCAAAACTAACTACGGTTGTTCAAGCCTTGCTGACCACTCTTGAGAAGTTTGGAAACCTTGTGCCGTTATTTATTTTTCTATTATCTAATAGGTTAACTATGTAAGGCTGGTGGACATAGATATCAATGTTATCATCAATCATTTTCTCCTCTGATCAAGGGTAGATTGTGAGTTCTGACTACATGGCGAATACTTAGAAATAGCAAGTAAATTTTGTGTTTGTGTACTCTAGTGGTCCCTAAATAAATATATCTGTCCATCCCTATTTATAACAAATCTCACTGCATTTAATCTTGGAGAGAGTGAATTGTTTCCTGTTCTTTTTCTTTGACAAAAACATTTTCTTCTATTTCCCTATAGGTTATGATCTAAATCTGCCATTGCAGTTGCCAGAGATTATATGTAGCCGTCGCAGCTTAGCATCTTTTGTGTCGAGAGTCGACTCCTAATGTGATATTGATGAAAGGCTTCGGATAAAATATCTGAAAACTTTTGTTGCTAAAATATGTTTGCTTACTCTTGAGCATGGCAACCGAGAGCCCTATGAGAATACTCGAAGACAGTAGAACAGAAAAGTGGGTTCCTTCCAAGGACATGGTCTCCTTTGTGTCCCCTGGGAATGAAGTGGCAGCTGATGAACTGGGATTGCTTCTTAAAGGTCATAAGATTCATGGGCATAATAGAAATAAGGTTCCAAATCGTAGTGGTAGTGCGCCTCCAAGTATGGAGGGCTCATTTTCAGCCTTTGGTAACCTAGTCCATGATCAAAGCTCTGGCCGGAAGTTGAGTTTGGCAAGCTTAGACAGTGCCATGCAAAACTGGCAGTCTGAAGAGCAGATGCGTGCTGATCCCTCCTATTCTGCTTACTACAGCTCTAATATCAACTTGAATCCTAGGCTTCCTCCTCCTATTATTTCAAGGGAGAACATGCACTTGGCACACCATTTTGCAGATCTGGGTGATAGCTGCCAGTTAAATTCTTCTGACAATAGTGGGGATGCATCCGTGCACGTCAGTAGAAGTTCTCTTTCAACTCATGATGAGGAGCCTGAAGATGAAAATTTACCACGAAGTGCTTCAGACAATCTGGCCCAAAGTCGTGCTTCAGGACAGCACATGGCCTCCTTTGCCGGTCAACATAAAAGTTTAGTTGACCTAATCCAGGTATTGAAGTTTAAGAATACCTTTCCCATTATGTGTATTATTTTCTTTTTCCAAGTTTCTGTTTGCATGTGCAGACTTGTCAGCATCTAAGAAGTTTTACTTAATTTTTCTTAAGCGTGTATCCGCACTGATTGGCGAGCTATGATAAATACCCAGCCCATAAACTTCATATGTTGGAATGCTAGTTTTGTTTAATCTTCTTCTAATTTTGCATTGAATTCTCTCTGTGGTAGTCTGTGTTTTAACGAATAAAAAAAATATGAACTTAACAATGGTTACAGTTGTGGGGCCTTCAGCTCATGATACTGTAGTGGCTTGCTGATGTTGGGAAACAGTGATGATCTAATTGCTTGGTACACTAATCTCTAATTAGTTAGGCCTGAAATACTAGGCATGTTGCCACGACTTGTGGGTACATTGTGCTAATGAATGAGAAGATAGTGTCGTCTAGACTTCTGGAGTGCTATTTTTCATGTTCCATGCTACTTATACTGTTGACTAATTGATCACAGGAGGACTTCCCTCGCACTCCATCACCAGTTTACAATCAATCTCGGCCCTCATGTCATGTTGCTGTGGACGAACCAACTGATTGTGATATTCAATCTATTAAACTGGAAGGTCTCTCCGTTGACATTTCAAATAAACCAGGTGCAGGCGCTTGTGCGGATGTCTCAGGTGACCATGATATAGCTGTCCCCGATCAGTCTTTGGCCATTTCTCTTGAAAAAGAATCTTCTGTTGACAGTCTTGGGAGGTCTCCTTCCCCTCAGAAGAGTGAAATATCAGCTAGTGATGCACCTCTGGTGAATGAGCTCTTAGTCAGTGATGGGATAGCATCAGGTATTTCAAAGAACTTTCCAGCTCCAGAGGTTAGTAACAACAAGGATGAACAATATTTTCATGGTAGGAATGGAGGGGAACAGCAACAGCAGCAGCAGTATCACTCCCAACGAATCGCAGCTTACCAAGTTAATAGCCCACAAGTTCAAGCAAATATTCTTGGGACTAATACACTACAGAGTAGCCTAGCAAAAGGTTATGGTCATAGCTGGTTCTCCTCAGTTGAGGCACAAGCAGTTCCTCAAGGTTCTGGCCTCACGCCTCCTCTATATGCAACAGCTGCAGCCTATATGGCTTCCGGCAACCCATACTATTCTAACTTGAGTCCACCTGGTGTATATGCCCCTCATTACAATGTAGGGGGATATGCTTTGGCTTCGCCTTCTCTTCCTCCATTTGTAGCTGGATATCCATCTCATTCTGGTCTATCTGTGCATATTAATGCTGGTTCTGGACGAAGCATCAGTGGTCAAAGTGT